AGATATGTACAATTCCATTCCTATAACTGTGAAAAACAACAGGCAAAACTAATCTATAATGTTTGAAATCAGAATAGTGTTACACTTGGGGGTTAGGTAGTGATTAGAAGGTAACACAGAGGGATTTCTGTGGCTTTAGCAATTTTCTGTTTCTTGAATTGTGCATTTGTTACATGGATGTAAAATTATTTCAAGGCATACACTTTAATATTTACACAGTTTCTTGGCAGTTTGGTAACATTTGCACACACACCAAAAAAAGAATAAGGAAACTTTTTATGTACTAATAAGGAATGATCTTGAGAACATGTAAAGGGAAAAAAACAAGGTACAAAACTGTTTGTATAATGTGCTACAACTTATGTAACAGAAATATATGATACTTTCATAATAAAGAAGAAAATTATGTTACATATAATATTTGCTTATATGTGTACAGAATGAATCTCTAGAAAGACACAAGAAATTAATAACACTGCTTGGCTCTGCGGATAGACAGAGTGTCCAGGGGACAGGAGGGGAAGAAAGATCCTTCACTGTACATACAACTTTTATCTTTTGACTGTCAAACCAGGCAAATATGCTAATTAGTTAAGAAAATTTTAAAAGAAAAGTAATTCAGATTATCTTTATAAAGCAATAAAATATTTTAAATTTGGGTTATAAATAGTGTCCCCCAAAGCCAACTCTGATGGGTCAAGTTTGCTAGAGATTTCAGAAATAAGGTTCTTAATAACATATTCCTTCCTGGCGGTTTAGCTAATATTCCTTAGAAGTATTCTGACAATATTAATTAGCAGAACACCACTGACAGAAAAAATAAACTCTGATATAATTAGTACAAATACTTTATGATCTGTATATTATAGCCTATCTGTTGAATTTTACTTGAAAACCATATAAAACAATTCTAGGCTTTCCCCAACATTACATGATTTATGATCAGTGATAGCAAGGACTGTTAATATGCCTGAAATGTAAATGCTTGATTTTATTCATTTTTCAGATCATGTACCATAGAAATCAAAAGTTTTTCTTCCATATTTAAGTTTATAAACTCTGATATGAGAGGAACCCAAAGATCATCCACCAGAAGCAGCTGGAATATCTAAACCTACTTCTCAACAATCTAAGCCTGGTTGCTACCTTCAAAGACTATAAAACCAAAGACTGAAGTTGCCCTAATTAAAAAAACCTAAAATTTACAAACTATATAAACTAAATATGTATATGGCATAAGCACAAGGATACATAAACAAAGAATATTGCCCAACATTCCAGTTCTACAAGGATTAAGTTACAACCCACTGCAGTCACCCACTGACAGGGCCCCCAGAGGGGAATTCAGGACAGAGAAAAACAGGATGGAACATTCTGTGTTTTAGATATATGGTCCCTAGACAGTTAAGATTCATATCTAAGGAAGAATTTGAATGACCCCAGATTCTTGCATCTTCCCATACATAGAAAAGCACTTAAATCATTAACTTGAGATGTCTGTTCCTTGTGATTAGCAGTAATCTTTTATGCTTGCTACTTGTATTTCCCAGCCAAAAAATTTATATACTGGCTCCTCCCCTGTGGTTTTGGAGCAGTTCCTCAGAGCTATCTGAGAGGCTATCTCCCAGCTATAGTCCTCAGTAAGACCCTCAATAAAACTTCACTCCCAACTCTCATATTGTGTGTCTTTTTTCCAGTTGACAAGTATATAGAAATGTATACAGTTAAATGGCCGATTTAAGAGGGCTTAGAGTTCCCAAAGACACTTGGTTAAATTCTCCTTCATTGACTTAAGCCTTGCATTCATGATACATTTAAAGATATTTTCCGCTCCACAATAAATTGTGATATTAATTATTATTCTCAAGTTCAAGATAATTAATTTAACTTTCACAAAAAGATAAATATCACATTTTTGTAAGCATTAAAACAGGCAATGTCAGACAGCACTGTCTTTTAATTTCATGTAAAAGAATAAAATTAGAACACTCCCTAACACCATACACAAAAATAAACTCCAAATGGATTAAAGACCTAAATGTAAGACCAGACACTATAAAGCTCTTAGAGGAAAACATAAGCAGAACACTCTTTGATATAAATCGCAGCAAGATCTTTTTTGAACCATCTCCTAAAGTAATGAAAATAAAAACAAAAATAAACAAATGGGACCTAATTAAACTTAAAAGCTTTTGCACAGCAAAGGAAACCATTAAAAAAATGAAAAGACAACCCTCAAAATTGGAGAAAATATTTGCAAACGAAGCAACTGACAGGGATTAATCTCCAAAGTCTACATACAGCTCATGCAGCTCAATATCAAAAAAACAAATAGCCCAAAGAAAAAATGGGCGGAAGACCTAGATAGACATACAGATGGCCAAGAGGCACATGAAAAGATGCTCAACATCACTAATTGTTAGCAAAATGCAAATCAAAACTACAATGAGGTATCACCTCACACTGGTCAGAATGGCCATTATCAAAAAAACCTACAAACAATAAACGCTGGAGAGTGTGTAGAGAAAAGGGAACTCTCCTATACTGTTGGTGGGAATGCAAATTGGCACAGCCACTATGGAGAACAGTACAGAGATTCCTCAAAAAACTAAAAACAGAACTACATTTGACTCAGTAATCCCACTCCTGGGCATATACCCAGAGAAAACCATAATTCAAAAAGATACATGCACCCCAATGTTCATTACAGCACTATTTACAATAGCTAGGACATGAAAGCAACCTAAATGTCCATCAACAGAAGAATGAATAAAGAAGATGTGCTACATATATACAGTGGAATATTACTCAGCCATAAAAGGAATGAAATAGTGCCATTTGCAGAGATGTGGACAGACCCAGAGACTGTCATACAGAGTGAAATAAGTCAGAAGGAGAAAAACAAACACCGTATAATATCACTTACATGTGGAATCTAGAAAAATGGTATAGATGAACTTATTTGCAAAGAAGAAATAGAGACACAGATGTAGAGAACAAACTTATGGATACCAAGGTGGGTGGGTGGGATGAAGTAGGAGATTGGGATTGACATATATACACTACTATGTATAAAATAGGTAACTAATGAGAACCTACTGTATAGCACAGGGAACTCTACTCAATGCTCTGTGGTGACCTAAATGGGAAAGAAATCTAAAAAAGAGGGGATATATGTATACGTAAGACTGATTCACTTTCCTGTACAGCAGAAACTAACAAAACATTGTAAAGCAACTGTACTCCAATAAAAATTAATTTAAAAAAATAGGCAGTGCCTGCAAAGTTCCTAAGATTTAAACTTGTCCAAAATCTGTCAGCTTGGTCTTTTACGTTCCTACCAGTTAAATATACCTCAAATGAGTTAATAAAATTATAACTGGAAATCATCACCATCAATCATTTCTTCTCCCCAAAATGGCTATAAAAGAGGCCAGAACATTTCCTTCAACATTCCAATTGTGAGGGGGAAAAAACTCATTCTGCCCATCTACACAAAAGGGTAGAGCCAGATCTACTCAAAACATTGACAAACAAAAAATCTTACAAGTAGAGAAAGAGATAAAATCAATATGGCAATATCTGAGGTAGGTAATATTTTTAGTGGTAAAGGTACAAGGAACAGTATAACAACTCTTGACTGATCTTTCAACTTTTCATATCCTGAAATATTTGCTACATTACTTATTTTAAAATTTAAGATAAAATAACCAAAATTAGATATAATATAAAGAAAGAAGTCCTATCTAGTTTTAGCAAATAGCTAAAATATAAATTTCCTCCTCTCAAAAAAATACTGGATTAACAAAAACTTCCATTGATGCTGAATCCCAAAATACTGTGGACATGATACTCATGAATACTACTCAGAATATTGAAGGTTAATGATTCAAATATTACAGTACACATATAAGAAGAAAAAGAAAAAGCTCCAAATAGAAAAAGGAAGAATGTCTATAGCTGCCATCCTTTTTTCTCAACAAACCTATAAAAACAGGTTTACTTCATTAAGCTCTGCCCATACAGTGATGATTCCTTATGAACTATTACCATTCAACAAAATAAAATAAGCACTTTCTTGACCTCTCAGCAGTGGCTGCCTGTCTCTATCATCTACCTAACTCAGTTTTGACTAGTACTTGCTAATCTGTGTAAATTTACTTCTCAGAGGTTTCTTTTTCTTTCATTAATATCAATTTTTCCTGTGATAGCCCTTCTCAATCACACCAAAAAGTTTGACTGTTTCCCAAATAATAAACAAATATCAGATCATTTAATAGTTAAATAACAGATACAGATAATAAAATACAAATTTTACTTCATCTCAAGGTGGATTATCAGCTAAGTAGATGTCTGTTATATTCTAGCTCTGGTTGAAACCAACACTAGAAACATTAAAATTTGGGACAATTTGTTACAAATAAAATCTAGTAACATTTTCCATATCCATTCATAAAATTTTCTTTTTCTAATTATTATTTCATTCTAAAATGGGAGAATTTGAATTCTGATCAATTCACCATCTTTGAAAATATCAATCTTGGATGTGCAATGTTGCGCAACACTTAGTACCAACATTTTTGGATGTCTAAAACCTCTGTCTCATATTTTTTTAAGGTAAAAAATATTTAAGCAAAAGGGTGAAAGTGTAGGAGGTAACTTCCATGATCAAAAGGTGTGGAAATACATTTAGTATTTACTTGACTTTTAAATTTTAGGTCTGGCTTTTCAGCACCTTGACCTAAGGAAAAGAACACATCAATGGTGAAGTCCTAGTTTATAGCAAGGAGAACAAGAATGCTAGGAGTTCCCATTAGAAAAGGACTGAATCTATATCAATTATGAATTTTCTATGAAAATAAACTATTATAAAAGTAAGCATAAATATTATTTCTAGCTATTAATATTATTTTTTTAATTCTTTCAAAAATTAACCTGAAACTTGATCGGGAAATAATTTTCTTACACGTTAAAAAATTGTTTAACTCTTACATTCTTACCGTTCTCTGTTAAATTTAAGAGAATGAAGAACAGCTGGCCTTTTTTGTCTAAGGTTCCACAAATGAAGTGTATCATCTGAACCTGCACTGACCAAAGCACCCTGGAACAAAATGAAGACAAAGTGAGCGATTTACTAATTTATGGGGGTTTTTTTGTGAAGCAAAAACAAGCTAATTTACTGAATTTTTCACTGCTTTTAATGTTATTTGTATTTATATAATGTAGAAATACAAGGAAGGACAATGCACATACTTCAGTCAGGAAGCCTAAGAATGCTAACAGTAGAAGAAGCAGGTAAACTACTGTATATGGATTGGTGAGAATGATTAGTTCAAGGAATATGCATTTATCAATAGAGGGATTATTATTATAAGAATCATTGTGACTATTAAAGATTTCTTATATTTTCTTTGGGAAAAACTAAGTTTAATTTTTTTGTTGTTTTTACTATTTATACATATACCATGTAGCTCTACAGAAAAGCAAATATCCAACCCAGTTTTAAATTGCAATCTGGTCATATAAAAATACACTGTTTGTAAACATTTTCTGTATAGTTAAGAAGTGTATAGTCTTCCTAAAAGAAGTATATAGTCTTCCTTAAAATTTTCTGTATAGTTAAGAAGTATATAGTCTTCCTATATAGTATATTTGGCATAATTTAATTTGTTTTCTTACTTCAAAAAGCTTCATCTATGACAAAAGAAAACATCTGTAATAAAAGAAAACATTTCTCCAACTAGAATTCAGTATAACTACAAAAATAATACTAAGATCCTTTTTATACAAAGCCTCCAAATAAAAATGGATCCTACTTCAAATACAATAGGATGGGTTCTACCTATTAGTATGGCAGACACCATATGGGCAGAAAATTAGCTGCCATGTATGACTTCATATACATATTTTAAATTATTTATTTTACTGAGTTAAGTAAGATCATCTTAAACTATTATAAACTATTTATTTTACTGAGTTAAGATCATCTTAAACTATGTCAGAACTTTTGCCATTGAGTTTCCCAGCAAAAAAACATCAATGCTTGCCCTGTCAGAGCCTGAAGCTACTCTAGAGTATTGAATGTGTTCTGTAAAAGTGATCTTGCACAATTATAGTAGTCTGGAGATACCTAAAATTCTTTTCATACTTTACAAAGTACTCGGTTACAAGTAACCTTTCACAGTTTATTAAATCAATCACAGATATAAAAATGATAAACCATGTAGATGTTAGGAAGAACTATACTGAAATTCCTAGAATTTACTTCTTCTTTAGGAATTAGAGAGAATATAGGAATCTAAATGCTCTTCCATAACAATTCCTACAACAAACATATGCTCATGTTGCCTGTGATGGTTCTTGATATTATATACCTATGATTTTAGTCTCAAAGAAAAATAACTTTTAAAACAATAATCATAACCAGAGAGTATAACCATTAAAATGTTTTAAAATGTGTACAAATTGCATATTTGTATATAAATATGTTAACACACATATTCAAAGAGGTATACATTGATATATACATTTTAAAATGAACTCATAGATAATTACATTCATGCAATAAAATGTATCCTACACATGCCTTGAGGATTTTTGTGTTTGTCTGCTTTTTTTTGTAAACTGTTCTCAAGTGTTCTACATATTCAAATTAGAAAATTATTAGGACTGCTTGGAAGTACTTGATGAACTACAATTTTTTTTTTGAGATATAGAATAGTGATCTCATTTCTCAGGAAAGTGGAAACTCATTTGGGATAGGGTGAAGATAGACTATGATATATAAAATTAATAAAACATTGTCTACAGTAAATAGTTATGTGTTATACAAAAGATATAATATGCCAACGGCAATGAAAGTAAAATAAATCAGCAGATGTTCAATAATATCTTAGTGTAATAGCTGAATAAATCTAGGAAGGAAGTCAGTATTAATAATTCTATGATAAAACTAGGAGATAACTTAGCATTTGAGGGAGGTGAACAGAACCACTGAACAACACCAACAGAAACATAAGACACATGAAAGTAAGCACATTGGCAGGGTGTCTAGGGCTCATTTACAAAAGCAAATCCATAAAAAGCACTACTAATGAAGATCTGTGAAAAGATTAAAAACTGAATAAAAACACAGGTCAAGAGGTCAGAAGCTGGGAAGTTTGGAAAAAGGTACAGAAGTTGAGTATAAGGCAGATCGAGGTGAGCAGTTCAGGACAGACAATGTAAACACTGGAAAGATGTTGAAGGCTTGCTTTTATTTCTTCTTAGTTATGTAACAGCACAGAGGCAAACTTATGGCCTTGAAGACAATTCTCAGAGGACAGGACACACAGAAAATCACCTGGGAACAATTTATGCCTGCCAGTAAACATCCATGCAGAAGGCAAAAGGCTGAGATCTCTCAACTAGGAGCTATAGAGTAACACTGAGACTTCAAAAAGGTTGTCAGTCTAGATACTAAAGACTAGTTATTATGATAAAATATTTTTTTAATGTTTCCCCTGCTCTTCCTTATTTCCCTCTCTCGTTTTGGTACCCCACAGCAAGTATGCCTACAACATGAAATATGCTAGGCTGGTCAACAAGGAGAATCTCACAGCCTTATGAGAAAGATTTTTGACCTAAGAGAAGTAAAAAGTGGACATTTCCCAGTATCACAAATTTTTCATGCCTCAGGTATCTCTGGTGTAAAGTTATATGAAACATTTCACCCATGTTTATGAGTAAAAGTTCTTAGAATATATATATGCAAATATATAGAGATACTGAATAAAAGATCACCATTCATGCCACAAGAAACAACCAGTGATACCTCTTTTTTTTTTCTTTCAATACACTGAGTTCAATCTCCTAAGTGCCCAAATTTGGTATGGCATAAACTCTTAAAACATTTTTGCATTGACTGAATCACTTAATATAAAAGAGTTCAAAAGACTCAAGGATCCATTGTAAAAATATGAGTCAAGAAGGCCTTAAGGGACTTCCCTGGTGGTGCAGTGGTTGAGAGTCCGCCTGCCGATGCAGGGGACACGGGTTCGTGCCCCGGTCCGGGAAGATCCCACATGCCGCAGAGCGGCTGGGCCCGTGAGCCATTGCCGCTGAGCCTGTGCGTCCGGAGCCTGTGCTCCGCAACGGGAGAGGCCACAAGAGCGAGAGGCCCGCGTACCGCAAAAAAAAAAAAAAAAAAGAAGGCCTTAAGTAGCCTTCAACTACTGGAAGATCTGCAAACTTTCTGAGCTTTACAAACTTTGTCTTTAGGGAGTTCCTCATCACCATAGGTTTATAAAAATAGGAGTAGGGTAGGCAGCCAATTGTTATAAAGCTATGCATATGTATACCAACAAATGAATATGGAGATATATACAGACAAAGAAGCCCAAAGTAGATAACTGAAAAGATTATTTAATGGAAGATAAAGACAAAACATGAAAATTAATGCTGGATTAGAAAACAAATTGGTGGGAGGAGAGTGTGTAGAGGGAGAGTTTAATGGTCAGTGTAGCAATCAAAGGATTTTAGTAATTTTTTAAAAACCATTTAAACAATTAATCTATAAATTATACTACACAATCACAATAACAGGATCTTCTGGTACATACAAAATTTTTCCTTTAAAATTTAATAAACTGACAAATACAGGAGTACAGTCTTTTATGAAAACTGTGACCATGAACAATATTGCATACGTATATATCTTTAAGCATGTAGAAAAATAATATTAAAAAGATTACACAATGTGTGTGTGAGATAGAAATATCTAAGAAAATCCTTACCTCATTGATCAAGAATTGGAGCTGCAGAACAGCTGCACCACTTTCATGTTGACAATAACAATCAACGCCAGGTCTCCCAAGTCTAAAATAATAAAAGTCAAGGATTCTAACATTTTAATTAGCATTAATACTAATGTGTAAAGAAAAAACTAACTTACTTAGCAACTGACATTTGGCTTACTAGTTATCTTTATTTTTGTAAATAAAGAGTTGAAAAATCTTGGTCTTAGTTGATGGAAATTACATTATATAGCATTGCTTGTCAGAAAAATGTCCCTCGTACATAATCAACCCCCCTCAAGAACAGTAATTTTGCATCTACACTCACAGACAAAAGTGTCTTCACAGGAGCTTCAGGATCCAGGTTGGAGATTGTGAAACCCTGGTGCAGTCCAAGAATGAAGACAGCCATTTTGAGGAGACAGGCTTGCACTTAGGCAGCTGACTCACTGACTGTGGTCTCAGCTATAGAAACAGAAATAGCTCTGTACCCCTGAGAACTTAGCTACAGCTCCATTTGGCTCTGGGTCTGTCACCAATATATGCCACATGTCAAGGGACCCAAAGGAGTCACACTCATTCATGTATCAGGTAACAGGCATAATAAAGAACTTAAAGAACTTGTTCCTGGCTGTAGAACAGGAAGTGACCTTTGAGCCAGCTCCAGCCTCACTAGGCTGCGGTGTGGGAACCCCTGAAGGTAAGCCCCTGGAAGTAAGGTACAGTCCGTCAGACTGTGGATTCTGAAGCGGCCTGTAACAGGGCTCCAGCAAGTCCCAGCCACAGTCTAGGAACAATCATGCTGGCAAAGGAACCCTATAGGAAACACGTTTGTCTGTACCCTCTAAGATCCTAAAAGGGGTTTATACTCAGCTCAAGCCCCCTCACTGCCAGTCTTCTAGAATTTCTGCTTGCACAAAGACCAGGCAGGAGACACTCCTGTCTCTGTCCCCTGGAGTTCCTGAAAAGGCCCTGTATGTGACTCCAGCTTCCTCATAACTACAGTCTGCCAGTCTACAGCAGTCCTGAGGGTCCAAGGTCTCAGTAGGAAACACACCTGGCTGCAACCCTGGAGAACTGAAAGGGCCCTACACTGAGTCCTAGCCCCTTCCAACTGGAGACTGTGAACAGTTCTGCTGCCACAGGTACCCAACAGGACACACTCCTGTATGTACTCCCAGAGATCCTGAAAGGGCCTAATACTCCCAACCACAATCCCCAAGCAGTCCTGGCACAGGAACCTGTCAGAAAACATAACTGCACTCCAAGAGATCCTGAAAGGGCCCTATACTCAACTCCAGCCCCTCTGGCCACAGTCAGGGACCAATTCAGCCCATCCAGTGATCTGGAGGGAGACATACCCATCCGTGACTGCAGAGCAAATCTTGGCTGTGGAATCTGAAACAGCATTGAGGCTCAGTTCCAGTACCTCTCAGCTACAGTCCAGGGTCAGTCCTGTCCATCCAGGGACCCATCCAGTGACCAGGCAGCAGTCCACCCAAGATCTGGCAGGAGGCACACCCACCATTTACCTGGTAATAGGCTTGCTACCTGGGGACCCACACGTGGACCCCAAAGCAGACCCTTGTCCCAGTCCCACCCTACTGAACAAGGTACTGCAGGTAGTCACATCTACCTGGGGACTAGAAGGGATCCACACCAGCATAAGACCCAGTAGCAAGCCCACAAATCATAGATGCTACTGCAGACCCAGCAAAAGCCTCACAACTGGCTCCAATGCAGCACAACTGCAATTATGGAAGTAATCCTATCAGCTCGGGAAACAAACAGAACGTCTTTATCTTCTGAAACCAGTCTGTAAAGACTGGAAGAGGTGCTTGCTTCACAAATGCACAGACACTAATATAAGGCTACATAGACAACAAAGCATTACACAAATATGATGCCACCAAAGGAAAGTAATAGAGCTCCAGCAACTGACCCCAAAGAAATGGAAATTTATGATTTCCCTGACAAAGAATGTAAAATCATCATCTTAAACTGTATGAAATGCAAGAAAACACAGATATACAACTAAGCAAAATCAGGAAAACAATTCACGAACTAAATGCATTTAATAAAGAAATGGAGAAATCAAGATGGTGGAGTAGGACATTGGGCTCACCTCCCCCAATGAATGCATCAAAAACAGATCTATGTGTGGGGCAACTCTAGCTGAAAACAAACTAGAGACTGGCAGAAAGGCTCTTTTACAACCAAGGCTATAAAGAAAGACCCACATGGAGTCAGGTAGGAAGGGAGGAGAGGGGATCAGGCTGGGACCAGTTCTTGTAGCAGGAAACAGACAAGAGGAAGGAGATATCACAGGTTGGGAGATCCTCCCTGGGGACTGAGGGATTTGAACTACATATTGGGCACCCCAGCCACTGGGTTGGACATCAGGTAGATGAGTCCCCTGAGCAGGTTTAAAAACCAGTGGGATGTACCAGAGAGTTGAAAGAAACTGAGACTCCACTCACACATGCTTGCTTACTCCCAGGAACAAGGTGGAGAAAGTAGGCTGAAAACGCCCCAGGGCTCATGCCAGTTTCCCACTACTGCCCCAGTGCACCCCAGCCTGCATCTGGAGACTGCTGCAGCCCCTCTTGCTCCAGCACACCTCTCCACTAGGGCAAAGGCTGCCACTGCTAAGGAATAACATACTCGGAGGTGATGGAGCTGGTGTGCAACCAGCCCTGAATCTGAACAGGGTGAGGGCGGCCACTGCTGGTGTGTGGGAAGGAAGCAGTTTGGGAGCAGCCTGGGGCTCTGACTCCTGTATGGGAATCAACCCAGCAGGCATCCTGGCCCACGGCAGGCAGTTGCTCCAGCTCCTCTTGCTCCAGAGCTGCTCTCCACTAGGGTGAAGGTACACACATTTGGAGGAAGCAGAGCCAGCTAGGGCCAGGCCCCGCTTCTAAACAGGGCAAGGGAGAATGTTTCTGGTGAGCACATGAAGGCAGCGGATCAGAAATGGCCTGGGGCTCTGACTGGCTTGCTGGGACCATACCAGGGCATAACCCAGCCCCACTGGGGGCCGCTCAAGCCCCTCTTCCTCTTATGTTCCCTTCCACTGGGATGGAGGTGCCAACACCGAGGGCAGGGGAGAGTGCACACTTACAGGGAATGGAACCAGCTCCAATCGACACATGGGACTTCAGCTCCAGCATCTTGGGCCCCAAACCCACTCCCATAGGGTGGTGACAGCCACTGAGCATAGAAGAAACCCAGGCTCACACCTGGCTCTGGCTCTAGCCCCTCCACGTCCACCCCTGCCTCCCAGCAAGGTGGTAGCTGCCAGCACACCCAAAGGGAAGATGTGACCTGTGCTCACTTCAGATTAGCAATCCCAAGAAAGCCACTCAGCATGTGAAGACTGCATGGGGATGCTGTCACACAGGACACCCCTGCAAGACTGAAATAGGTAAATGTTTCACCTAATTTTGTAAAGACAAAGAAAGTTAAGTAAAATGAGAAGACAAAGGAATTTGTTTCAAGCAAAAGAACAAGAAACAAAGCCCTGAAAAAACAACTAATGAAACAGAGATAAATAATTTGCCAGATAAAGAGTTCAAAGCATTAGTAATAAGAATGCTAACTGAACTTGGGAAGAGAATAGATGAACACAGTGAGAATTTTAACAGGGAACTAGAAAATATAAAAAAGAACCAGTTAGAGAAAAAGAATAAAATAACTGGAATGAAAAACATACTAGAAGGATTTAACAGCAGACTAGGTGATGCAGAAGAATGCATAAGCAATCTGTAAGAAAGAATAATGGAAATCACCCAATCATAACAGCGAAAAGAAAAATAAATTTTAAAAGGTAAGGATAGGGCTTACCTATCCTTTGGCGCAGTGGTTGAGAGTCCGCCTGCAGATGCAGGGGACGTGGGTTCGTGTCCCGGTCTGGGAGGATCCCACGTGCCACGAAGCGGCTGGGCCCATGAGCCATGGCCGCTGGGCCTGCGCGTCTGGAGCCTGTGCTCCACAACGGGAGAGGCCACAGCAGTGAGAGGCCCGCATACCACAAAAAAAAAAAAAAAAAAAGGTAAGGATAGTTTAAGGGATCACTGAGGCAACATCAAGCATACTAACATTTGCATTATAGGGGTTCAAGAAGGAGCGATAGAGAAAGGGGTTGAAAATGTGTTTGATGAAATTATGGCTAAAAAATTTTCAAGCCTGAAGAAGGAAACAGACATCCAGATACAGGAAGCACAGAGGGTCCCAAACAAAATGAACTGAAGAGACCCAAACCAAGAGATATCATAATTAAAATGGAAAAAGTTAAAGATAGAGAATTCTAAAGGCAGCAAATGAAAAACAAAGAGTCACATACAAGGGAATACCCATAAGGCTATCAGCTTATTATTCTACAGATTTTGCAGGCCAGAAGGGAGTGGCATGATATATTTAAAGTGCTGAAAGGGGAAACCTACAACCTGAGATACTCTGTCCCACAAGATTATCATTCATAAATGAAGGAGAGAAAAAAATTTCTCAGACAAGCAAAAACTAAAGAGTTCATCAATACTAACTAAATTGACCCTAAAAGAAATGTTAAAGCATCTTCCCTAAATGGAAAAGAAATGGCTACAACAAGTAAGAATTTATAGGAAAGGAAAAATCCCACTAGTAAAGGCAAATATATAGTAAAGACTGTGGATCAACCACTTAAATAAGCTAATGTGAAGATTAAAAGACAAAAATTGCAAAATCAACTATAACTGCAATAAACAGTTAAGGGATAAATATGAAGATGTAAAATATGACATCAAAAACAAAAAACATGGGGGAGGGGAGTAAAAGATGTAGATCTTTTAGAATGTGTTTAAACTTAAATGACTACTGCTTTGGAAGAAGTAGACATAGTTATAGGTCAACATATATAAACTCCATGTTAACCACAAATCAAAACCATACAATAGGCAATAGGTACACAAAAACTAGAGAGAAAGGAACACAAGCATACCACACACACCCATCAAACCACAGGAGAAGAAATTAAAAGAAGAAGAAAAGAACAGAAAAGAACAAAAACAACAAACAAGTAACAAAAAACAAGTAACAAAATGGAAA